AGAACTACTGTACTATACCACAATTTATATATAGATGTTTAAAAAACACTCATTAAATAGAACTTTATTCTGGGGTTCTATTAGGCTTTTTTTTGTGCTAACAGCTGGAGGAATAAATTAAAATCAATACATAATTTTTAACATTTGCTTTATGTATATGTTGTTTTTGCCTGTATATATGAATGTGTACCACATACATGTCTGGTGCCCTTGAAGGTCAGAAGGCGGCTCTGAATTGCCCTCAGACTGGAGTTACAAATGGTTGTGAGCCGCCATATGGATGCCAAGAATCAAACCTAGGTCCGCTATAAGAGCAACAAGTTCTGAGTCTGGATCCCCAGCACCCACATAAAAAACTGGGTGTATGGTGTCATATACCTGTAATCCTAGCACTGGTGACACAGAGAAAGACAAGATCCCTGGGGTCTGCTGGCCAGCCAGCCAATTTAGGCAACTCCAAAAATAAGATGAGTCTATGGGAATGACTCAGTACAGGCATAAGGACCTGAGTTAGGACCCACAATGCCCCATAAAACTAGACAAGGCAGCCAGTCGTTGGTGGTGCATGCCTTTAGTCCAGCACTCAGGAGGCAGAAGCAGAGGCCTGCAAATCTCTGTGAATTTGAGGCCAGCCTGCTCTACAGAGCAAGTGCCAGGATAGGCTCCAAAGCTACACAGAGAAACCCTGTCTTGAAAAACAAAACAACAGCACTCGGGAGGCAGAGAGAAAGGCGGATCTCTGTGAGTTCAAGGCCAGCCTGGTCTCCAGAGCGAGTGCCAGGATAGGCTCCAAAACTACACAGAGAAACCCTATCTCCAAAAACAAAAAAAAAAATCCTATGTAATTTTCTAGTATCTTTCCTGAAAAACAGATTATTGGCAATTGGCAATTGAAACAATTATATAATGTATACTACATTCCAAGCTCCAGAATCAAAGCTGTACACACACTGTTTGCCAGGAAATTTGTTGGGGGGGAGGGGACTTGTATGTCTGTATGTGTGTGGGGGGGTGTTTAACATGTGTATGAGGTTATATGTGGGTACATGTGCATATTGCAGGTAGAATCCAGAGGTTTCTTCACTAAGATATCTTCCTCAAATGTTCTCCTTTTTGGGGAGCAGTGGGTTCAAGACAGGGTTTCTCTGTGTAGCCTTGGCTCTCCTGGAACTCCCTAGGTAGACCAGGCTAGCCTCAAACTCACAGAGATCCACCTGCCTCTGCTTCCTGAGTGCTGGGATTAGCTCCCCTTAGTTTTTCAGGCAAGGTCTCTCATTGAACCTGCAGCAGATGATTTAGGGAATCTGGCTGACCATGAGCTCCAGGGATCCACCTAGCTCACTCCCTCAGTTTTGGGGTTAAAGATGCAGAAAACTGTATCTGCATTTTACCTGAGAGCTAGGGAACCAAACTCAAGTCCTCAAGCTTGTAGGGCAGACACTGTGCTAACTGAACCATCTCTCTGGCCCTTAACTTGTTTTAATTCTGCAAACAATCACTTAAAAGGGGCTTGTGAGATGGCTCAGCAGTTAACAGCACTTGCTGCTCTTGTAAAGGACCCAGGTTCAGTTCCTTAAAAGGGGCTTGTGAGATGGCTCAGCAGTTAACAGCACTTGCTGCTCTTGTAAAGGACCCAGGTTCAGTTCCTAGAACCCACATGGCAGCTCACAGAAACCTATAACTTCCATTTCAAGAAATTCAACACCCTCTTCTGGCCTCCTCTGACAACAGGCACACACATGGTGTGCATGCAAACATGCAGGCAAACACTTATACACATAAAATAATAATAAACATTTTTTAATTAATTTAAGAGGGTCAGGTTGTACAGCAGCTCATGAGCTGCCATGTGGTTACTGAGAACTGACTTGGGTCCTCTACAAGTATGCCATGACACATCCACACATATCCACAGAGAGTAAACTTTACAAACAATGTTAAATCACTCAAGACAGTCATTATGCACCCCATCCTTTCTGCAAGTAAGAGAATAGAAACCATCCAGATAGTGGTGGTGCACATCTTTAATTCCAGCACTCAGTAGGAAGATAGGCAGATCTCTGGGAGTTTAAGGCCATCCTGGTCTACACATCAAGTTCCAGGACAGCGAAGGCCACACAGAGAAATACTGTCTCAAAATTTGAAAGAAAAAAAAAAAAGGAGGAGGAAAGAAAGAAAGAAAGAAAAAAAGAAAGAAGGAAGGAAGGAAGGAAGGAAGGAAGGAAGGAAGGAAGGAAAATAGAAACCAAGAAATTAATCTACTTGCTGGGTCCAGTGTTTCACACCAGTAATTCCAGCACTTGAAAGGCTGAGGCAAGAGTCACACAAGTTAATCTATTGTATAGGACCTGGTAACTACTAAGTATATTAACATACTAACTGTTATCTATTAAATCAAGACAAAAACCCCAAAATCTCATCAACTTTCCACAATACCAAGACACCTAAATTCCAAAATGCAACAATGATAATCATTTTAGGAGGCAGAATAATGTAGTGGTCAGAAATGTCTAGGTTCTAGTTCAAGCTCAGCTAGTATGACAATCTGTTTAAAAGGTATCTTCTGCAGGGCGTTGATGGCACTCACCTTTAATCCCAGCACTCAGGAGGCAGAGGCAGGCGGATCTCTGTGAGTTCAAGTCCAGCCTGGTCTACAAGAGCTAGTTCCAGGACAGCCTCCAAAGCCACTGGGAAACCCTGTCTCGAGAAAAAAAAAAAAAGTGTCTTCACTGTCTATAAAATTGAATTGTAGAGTACCTAGAAGCTGAGGCAGGATCTATATACTTATCATGTAAATAGATCAGACCAACTTGTTCTATATACACTGTAAGATCAAGGCCTGATATAAACCATTACCCAAAATCTTCCTTCAAAACAATAAACTTGGAGCTGAGCATGACATTAATCCCAGGACTCGGGAAGCAGAGTCAGGAGCATTTCTGTGAGTTCAAGGCCAGCCTGGTCTACATAATAAGCTCTGGAACATCCAGAACTATATAGAGAAAATCTGTCTCAAAAAACAAAAACAATAAACTTGAGAGGCTTGAGACATGATTCAGTGATTAACTTGCAACTCTTGCAGAGGACCTGGGTTCAGTTTCTAGCACCCACATGATGGTTCACAGTTATCTATGACTCCAGTTCCAACAGATCCAATTATCTCTTCTGATCCTTTTTTTTTTCTTTTTTGGGAGGGGGGTGGGGTTTGAGACAGGGTTTCTCTATGGCTTTGGAGACTCTCCTGCTCTTGTAGACCAGGCTGGTCTCGAACTCACAGAGATCTGCCAACCTCTGCCTCCCAAGTGCTGGGATTAAAGGCGTGTACCACCACGACTACTGGGTTCTTCTGATCTTGGGACCAGGGCTGCATGTGATGTACAGACACGCACACATAGCACTCATACACATAAAGTAAGTAATTTTCAAATGAACTGGAGGGCCGTGACTGGAGAGATGGCTCAGTAGTTAGAGTACTGGCTGCTCTTTCAGGAGACCTAAGTTTAATTCCTAACACCCACAACCACCTATAACTCCAGCTCCAGAGAATTAGACACCCTCTTCAGGCCTGGGACAGCACTAGGCATGCATGTTCACAGAAATCTATTTAGGCAAAACATACACATTACAAACTAAATAGAAAAATTAATGAACATGGAGCTTGGAGAGATGGCTCTGTGACCAAGAGGGTATACTGTTCTTGCAGAGGACCTGAATTCCATAACTAACACCCACAAGCAGCTCAAAACCAGCTGTAACTCCAGCTCCAGGGGACCCCACACCCTCTTCTGGATGTCATGGAACACGTGTGCATACACAAACACAGACACACATATATATAAATATACACTAAAATAGTCTTTTTTTTTTCAAAAAAGCACTTTAAATGAATTTTTAGAAGGTATTTAAAGCAAACAACTCACATATTAACCTGAAAAAAAGGCTTTGTGGCTTACTATCCTTTTTCCCATAAACAACAGAGAGCTGAAATTTTTCCCAATTTGGTGTAACACTTTTCCCCCTTGAATGCTGGCATTCTGAAGAATGCTCAATAACAAGCTGCTGAAGAATGCTGAAAAATAACAGAAAAATATACGTATATATGATTGTTAAATGTCTTCTAGATTAACTGAACATCTTCGGTTGTCCTTTAAAAGTTATTTCAAATATGCATCTGTCTCCTATGCCTGCTGCTATTTCACTTTCGAGCTGTTTGAATGTTCATTATACAGAATTATGTACTGAAGTTGGGACTGAGGGGGCTTTTTTTAAAAAACTTTTTTTAACAGGTGATAAGAAATGACAGCTGTCAAATACATAACATCCCTCTGTACCGGCTGGGGTTTTTTTTTTTTTTTTTTTTTTTTTTTTTAATCCCTGGTAAACCAGATTATCTGTTCAGTTCCTATAAATTAGTCTAAACGAAGTTAAGGCAACTTCCTGTGTCATCAGCTCTCAAAACAGCTGAGACGCGCTTCAGGAGAAAGCTGATTAAAGCTGGAGGCCCGAGCAACTTCTCCCTAAGAAAGCAAAGTGTTACATTCTTCTCGCAAAGCTTGAAGTCGCGGCCTTAGGACACATTCCAACTGAGATTTGGGACAGTGCTGAACACGAAAGTAACTTTTAACACCGGGTCCAAATCGGCGTTCCTCTTCCTGCCTCCCTTCCCCCAAGAGTCGGGGTGGAGTGTGAAAGTGCCGCGTAGCAGCCACATCCCTTGCACGCTGCGTCCGCGGTGCGCCCCGCACCCTAAGCGGGCCCCTCGGAGCACCCTGCGCCGTCCTCCCCACCCCGCAACGCGGCGAAGCCCCCGTCCACACCCGGCCTGCAAAGCCTCTGGAGCTGCTCGGCCTCCCGGGCGGCTCACCATCGCAGCCCCAAGACCGAAGAGGAACAGGTGGGCAGGCCCGCGGCTGGGGGAATCCGTTATCAGGGCTCGGGATCCATTGGCGCCAACAACTTCTCCCGCGAAGTGGCAGAAGCGCAGGCGGCGGCGCGCGACGATGACGTCAGGAGGCGCGCGCTTCCCGCGGCCCCGCCCCGAGGCGGGAGTTGCGCGCTGGGTGCAGGACCGCCCCGGCGACAGGAGGATTGCTACCTCTCTAGGGTACAGTGTGCGCTTGCGATCGCGACCCGGACGCCCAATCTGGCTGGCTTCCTCTAAGGCAGGTTCCCAGGTGCCTTCCTTCCGTGTACACGTGCAGCAAGGGCAGTGCTCTGTAGGAATTTCCAAGTCTTACTCCCACCCTCAATAAAATGAAATGTATTCTACGCACTGCACACATCAACTGTTCCCATCAACCTTTACTCTGATCTGTTTTATTTTCCTTTTAATGTTTGACCTATTGATTTTGTGTCACACTAAGAGACCCATAGTTTAAAAACTCCCAGGATGAAGGACAAATATTTATTACTTTTTACACGTTTATTTATTGGCAGTGGAGTTCACCAGCGGCGGTCAAAGAAAAGCTTGCGAGAGCCTTTCCGCCACGAGAGTACATGTTTGTATTAAAGAGACTGTTCACATTAAAGGAATGCTTACATTAAGTTTTGTTGTTTTGAGGCTCTCGTGTGTCCCATCCAGGTCTCAAACTCCCTATGTAGTTGAATATGAGCTTGAACTAATGATTTTTCTGCGGCCTCCCAAGAACTGAGATTTCATATATATTCCAGGCTGGAGAAATGGCTCAGTGGTTAAGAGCACCGACTGCTCTTCCAGAGGTTCTGAGTTCAATTCCCAGCAACCACATGGTGGCTCACAACCATCCATTATAAGATCTGGTGCCCTCTTCTGGTGTACAGATGTACATGGAAGCAGAAAGTACATGGAAGCAGAATTATACATAATAAATAAAGTCCCTTAAAAAAAAGATTTCATATATATTCCAACATGCCTGGTTTATGCAGTGCAAGGGATCAAACTCAGAACTACTATGAAAGAATGTGAGCAACCCCCAGCCCCAACAGCTCTTTGACCTAAAACTACCATGCTACGAAAACTAGCCCCTTAATTCCTAAAGCTTCAATAAGTCGCTTAAAGAATAGTGAAGTAGGGCTGGAGAGATGAGGAGGCCTTTAAAGGCTAGGCTCACAACCAAAAATATAAGAATAGTGAAGTAGCCGGGCAGAGGTGGCACATGCCTTTAGTCCCAGCACGAGGCATTGGCAGGCAAATCTCTGAGTTTGAGGCCTGCCTGGTCTACAGTGTGAATTCCAGGACAGCTCACAAAGAGACGCTTTTTCTCAAAACAAAACAAAGAAAAGGAAAGAATAGTGAAGTCCACTGGGCAATAGTGAGGCATAACTTTGATCTGAGCACTGAGGAGGCAGAGGCAGGCAGATCTATGAGTTTGAGGCAGTTCCAGTCTACAAAGTGACTTCTAGGACAGCCAAAGCTTCATAGAGAAACTCTGTCAAGAAAAAAAAAAAAAAAAGTGAAGTCTTTGAAGTGACACATACCAAGATATACACCCACAGAAAAACTAGAATCAAGAGAAATTTAGTATAAACAAGTCTCAGCAGGGAGTGAGGTAGTTTTCCTTTGTCACTTTGGGGAACTGGTTTTGGTAGGTGACTCAGGTGGGCCCAGAACTCATGATAATGCCTTTGCCTCCACAACCCCATTGCTGGATTACAGGAGTGATCCTGTAATCCACACCTGGCCAGCAGGTTTCCTATTAATAAATAAACAACTTGGTTGTGGGATAGAATGTAACATCTGCACACAATTTCAAGAGAAAACATGAGATTATCCAAGAGTTTAGTGAGGAGAGCAATACCAAACTTTGGCCTTAAACTTTCAAATCTTTTTCTAACCACTCCGGTTGAGTCTTGTGCTTTTATGACACCATATCTACCCAGAGAGGCCGTAAAGCCTTCAGGAATACAAGAGTTTGTATTTACTAGATATCGATTGCAATGCGATTTGGGTTTAGGTTTTTCTGGAACAGAACTCTCTCTGTAGCCCTGGCTAGCCTGGAACTCAGGGACTCATCTGCCTCTGCTTCTCCATTGTTGGGATTAAAAGTGATATTCACACCTTGCATCTTTTGTAATATGTACCCCACATGCAGTTTTGCACTGTTTTAGGTTAAAATTCACCACTAACAATAAAAATCCCCTATTTAGAAACAAATGAACTATTTCTCTTCACTGCCTGGATCCATCTGAAGCCAGTTGCTCTATTCCTGCTCCACTGTGTGACCATAGAGAAGTAATTGTGACTTGGTTTCCTCGTCTGTTAAAGATAGAACAGTTCCTGACATACATCAAGTAATGATAGTTTGGTGGTGGGTGGTAGTTATTTGACTTGGTTGGAGTTTAATTCAGACAGTCTCAGTATATAACCCAGGCTGGACTCAATCTTGAGATCCTCCTGCTTCAGCCTCTGAAGTGCTAGGATTACACACATACACCACTATACATGGATGATAAAATAGTGTTTTTAAGTCAACAATTATCATCATTATTATGGAGTTTTCACATGTGTGGCAGAAATGACCCAAGAGATCCTGCCTTTAAACAAGGTGGAAGCAAAGAACCAACTCTTGAAAATTGACCTTTGACCGCCACATACACACTCTGTGACATGAGTGTGCTCACACCCAGAAACACAAAATAAATAAATAAAAATAAATCTAAAAAATAAAATAGGGCTGGAGAGATGGCTCAGTGGTTAAAAGCACTGGCTGCTCTTCCAGAGGTACCAAGATTGATTCCCAGCACCCACATGGTGACTCACAACCATCTATTATGAGATCTGGCACCCTCTTCTGGCATGCAGGCACACACGCAGACAGAGCACTCATATACATTAAATAAATAAATCTTAAATATAAAATAAAATAGGAGAGCATTCCAAAATTAGACTTATCTATACTACAGTTTAGTTTAGGGAAATAATTGGTTTTGGAAGACTAGGTCTGTCTGATGCATTGAAAAATCAGAAAAAATCTGTGAGTCAAATCCATGGAAAGGTATATACAGCAGACATACAGCAGAACTTTGTTCACATAACCTAGAGGACCTAAACCAATGTGCAGTATTCATTGCATTATATATCAATGAGTAGGACACATAAAACTTTCACATTCCAACTGTGGTGGCACACACATTTAACCCCACCACTCAGGCTGAAGCAGGCAGCTCTCTGTGAGTATAGGGTAGCAAGCATAATGAGGCCCTGTCTCAAAAAAAAAAAAAACAAAAAAAAAACAAAAAAAAAAAACACCATGGGGGCTAGAGAGATGGCTTAGGAGTTAAGAGCACTTGCAGCTCTTACAGAGGACCCAAACTGGGTTCCATCACCCACATGGCAGCTCACAAATCCCTGTAACTCTAATTCCTAGAGATTTATTACTATCTTTCAGTTTTTTGGGGCACTGCATATATATGATACACATATCTACACACAAATACACATGTACACATAATTTAAAATGACTCTTTTTAAAAATAAAATAAATTCCTAACCATCAAGACAAAAAGAAAAATTAGCAGGTTCACACCTTTAACACCAGCATTTGAGAGACAGGGACAAGAGGATTTCTGTGAATTCCAGGCCAGACTGTTCTACACAGCAAGTCCAGGAAAAGCCAGGACTGCATAGAAAGAACTAATATCAAAAATGAAAGAAAAAGAAAACTTGTATTTTTTGTATTGTATTATTTTCAGCATTTTTCTCTTTTCCTTTTTGAGACAGGATATCATGTATCTTAGGTTGGCCTGAAACTTTCAACGAAGCTGAGGCTGATCTTGAACTTCTGATCCTCCAGCTTCTACTTCCCAAGTGCTGAATCAGATTATAGTCCTGCACCACCAACCCACTTTATGCTGTGCTGGAGATCAATGCTGGAGAGCCATTTGCAAGAGCAGCAGATGCTTTTAACTGCTGAGCCATCTCTCCAATCCCTTTGTTGTTGGTGGTTTGATTTTCTCTTAATGATTCAAGACCTAGCTTAGAAAAGACACTTTTGAATCCAAGTATCACATATTAGATCTGATTACACAATGCTCACTGGCTTTGTCTTAATCCTTAAAAGAAAGGCTGTGGGGAAAAAATTAACTTCATCAACAAAACCAATTTTGTGAAAGTCAAAGCTATTTTCCTTCTCACTTAAGAGCAGAACCCTGTGGGACTAGAAAGATGGCTAAGTGGTTAAGAGCACTGACTGTTCTTCCAGAGGATCCGGATTCAATTCCCAGCACCCACATGGCAGCTCACAACTGACTATAGCCCCTGTTCCAGGGGATCCAATACCTTCATGAAGGCAAAACACCAATCAATGTACATAAAATAAATAATTTTTTATAAAATTAAAAAAAAAGAGTAGAACCCTGATGGGAAAATTGTCTATATTCCATGAAAAATTCTTTGTCCCAAAAAGTTAGAATACTGACATTAGAATCTTTTTTTCTTTTGTTTTGTTTTTTGAGACAGGGTTTCACTGTATTGCTTTGGAGCCTGTCCTGGAACTCTCTCTGTAGACCAGGCTGGCCTCCAACTCACAAATATCCACCTGCTTTTGCCTCCTGAGTGCTGAAATTAATGGCATGTGCCACCACTGCCTAGCCTGGACCTAATAGTTCCTAATACATATACATGACCCTCATCCTCTAACACAGAGAGGTAAGGCAGTGCTCTGAAACATCTGAAAAGAGCATAGCAGCAAGCCATGTAAGCTGATTCTTGGCCCTCCTTTATATTCTAATTGCAGCCCTCTGTAAATTGCAAACAACTCAAGTGATTAAAATGGCTTCTGTTTCAATGCCTGTCCTCTGTTAACTTATCTAAGCCATAGGATGCACTCCTGACTCACTTTGGAAGCATCCTCAAGAGCACAATGGTCACATTGTCTTTCCCTAGACTTTGAAAACTCAACAGAAATCAATTGGGTTTTCACTGTGCTGCAACAAAATGACCTTCCACCCTCTGGATAAATATTAGCATATCCTACTTTGTCATGGTTTATTGGAACATTTTTCTTATAGACAACAATCTATCAGGCAGTGTCTCCGTGGCCACTGGAGGCCCACCCTGGCTGCGTTGACCTTAAAGCCATTTAGGAACACAACCATCAAAACCTGTCACCGTTAAAGTGCATATAT